TTTGACGGAATACTGTATTAATCTACAACTCTGGGAACAATAAAAACTTCTTTTTTTAAATTGACACGTCTTTGCATGTGTTTGTGACGATTGCCTCCGGAGGGGCAGGATACGCTCTCCTTTTCCTGAACACCTGGTATCATCACTATTTGATTCACTCATGACAAGCCTTTGGACATGGATCCAAATCCTGCCGTGTCTCTGTTGTTTGCTACCGCTGTGGTGACAAACACGAGGCCACTGACTGCAGGAAGGATGTGAAGGTTTCAAACTGTGGTGGGAACCATATGGCATCTTCCAAATCCTGACTTGTGTGGTAACATGAATTACAGATAATGAAAATCAAGACTGAACAAAACTTCTCCTACTTTGAAGCTAAGAAGAGGGTTGTAGGTTCTACTGCAACCACTTCTTCTATCTCTTACTCTGCTGCTGTCACCACTGTCGACTGCCAGACTGATCTGATGTGGGCTAAATCTGTTCAGCCACGTCCAACTACTTCACTCCAAAAAACCCAGCTATGACAACCCCAAAACCAAAAACCGTAAAAAATGTCGAGATCTCAGAATCCAAAACCAGCAAACAAAGCCAGAACCAGAAATTGTCAAACTCACAAACAGGGAAAAGAAATTATTGAAAAAGTAGCAGCAAAATGAACAGCTGCAAACATCAAAGGCCACCTCTCCTATAGAGATCTATAACTCCTTTGGTCCTCTGGACATGGATGTAACTCGATCTCCACATGAAACCGATAGGAGTACTACAAAGCCTTCCTCACGTTCGCGTGATATTTCTCCAGTGGAAGCACCACCATAAATCCACAAACATAATACAATGGAATTGCAGAGCTCTTAAGAAGAAATTTAATCCAAGGTTATAAACCGTCAGCTTTTTGTCTCCAAGAAACACAGATCGATTTGATATCCGTCAGTACAGTTCTTACCACTTGTTTTCCCGTCCTGTTGATAAAGCTACAGGGGTTTCTTACTATCCTGGTGAAGCAGGACGTAATCCATAGCCCTGTTCCACTCAACACTACTCTACAAGTTGTTGCTGTCCGTTTTACTTTGAACATAGTGTTTACAAGGTGATCACTGTATCTTCCACCTTCCTCAACTATCCGTCAATCAGACCTTCAGGCTTTGTACGATCTGCCCCCGAAGCCCTGTATCATCATGGGCGATGTAAACGGTCATAATCCCCTATGGGAGAGTACTGATACAAATAATAAGGGAAAACTCCTTGGATATTTTATCTCGAACAATGATTTATGCATCTTCAATGATGGTGCCAATACCTATCTTCATCCTGCCACTGGTACATACTCTGCCAAAGATCTTTCACTGACAGATTCAAAAGTAAATTTGAATGGTCGGTCCATGATGACCTTTGTGGAAGTGACCTTTTTCCAACAATACTTACAACTATTAATCCGTCTGACGAACCACCTTCAACAAGGTGGAACTTTACAAAGGCCAGCTGGTCTTTATTCTAAACGCTATGTATTGCAAAACTAAAACCTGAAAGTTTCGGGAATGTTCCTGATCCTATACAACCTTTTTTCAGATATATTTAATGCTATTGGAGACGAAAACATTCCTAAGTCCTCTGCAAACCCTCATATATGTAAACCGTGGTTTGATAATAATTGTAAACAAGCTAGGGAAAATAGGAAGAAAGCCGAGAAACATTTCCAACGACATCTAACTGTCCACAACTTGAATAATATTCAAATCATGAACGCTAAAGCGAGACGTATCTTTAAACAGAATAAACGTCAATCCTGGAGGAAATATGCATCAAAAATTAATTCCCGCACACCCACGCCAAGGTGAGGAACATAATTCAATAGATTAAGGGACAAGGGTCAAAATCTGGAGTTCACTATCTCAAAGATGGTAATACACTTTTAACCACAAATCTGAAATTGCCAACACACTTGGTGAAACTTTGGCAAATCATTCCTCATCATCAAAATATAATCCTCAATTCCAGAGGTTTCAAAAACAAAAGGAAAAGAAAAGTTTCAACACTGATAATGGTGAGGACTATAATGAACCATTTTCACTCCATGAATTACATGAATTTGGATTGAGGGGCAGATTACCTCAGTTCATGTCTCATTTTTTAGACAACAGACAATTTCAAGTGCGAATGGGTTCTACCCTGTCTGACCATTTCGATCAAGATCAGGGCGTCCCCCTAGGCAGTATACTATTGGTCATACTTTTTAGCATCAAAATTAATAGTCTCACTAAAGTATTGACCAATAGCGTTGATGGTTCACTTTTTGAAGACGATTTCAACATTTCTTGCCGTGGTAAGAATATGAATTCAACAGAAAGATCTGTCTTAACAAAATTAAAAAATTGGCGAACGAAAACGGCTTCAAATTCTCCAAATCCCAAACAAACTGTATTCACTTTTGTCATAAATACAAACCACATAAGGATCCAGATTTACTTTGGGATGGTACTCCTGTCAAGGTAGTAGAGGAGGCCACATTCCTGGGCCTCATATTTGACCGTCATCTGACATTCTTACCACACATCAAATAGCTCAAGGCAAAATGTTAAAAGGCGTTTGAAATTCTGAGTGGGGTGGGGATCAGACAACCCTCCTTCACTTGTACAGATCGTTAATACGCTCTATAATATACTATGGTTCTCTCGTGGACAGTCTGTATGTGGAGGCTGATGAACCTTCACTCGAACAGCGCCGCATAAAACTGTTACTGCAATTTATCACTAAACTGCACTCAAATAAATCAAATCTAGCATACAATTACGTTTTCCACCCTCAGTATGAAAACCTTTTTCGAAATCTATCAAATCTGGTTCCACCACTTGGAATCATAATTCTACCACACATCACCGCAGCTAAAATAGATCTTAATATGATTTCACCTTCCCGACTTCTGTCTTCTCCCTGGCAGATGGTGAAGCCAGAGGTAAACCTTACTCTAACTAAACTAAAAGAATCCGAAACAAATCCTTTGGTTTATCAACAAGTGTACAACCAATTGCGAACTCAATATAATTCTCACAGGTCCATTTTTACAGACGGGTCCAAGGATGGTGGCAAAGTTGCTAGTGCCACCATCATTGGATCCAGAACTGTCTCCTCAAGAATACCAGATACTAGTTCTATATTTACGTCTGGGGCCAAAGCTATCCTAACAGCTTTGACTAATATCAAAAATTAATCACAATCCAAAAACATCATCATTTTCGCTGATTCGTTGTCTTGCCTTCAGGCACTTAAAAGTGTCTTATCATATCACCCTTTTATTCTTGACATTCTTGAACTCTATAATGATCTTTCTCCTGGCCAGTGTGACATCGTCTTTTGCTGGTTACCAAGTCATGTCGGCATAATAGGTAACTAAAAAGCCGATGCTGTAGCTAAAGCAGCTCTTGACAAACCGCTGTCTCCACTGCTTATCCCGTACAGTGATATCAAACCAACAATCAAGAGTTATACTCGGGATCTCATGCAAAAGAGGTGGGAAACCCAGGTAGCAAGCAATAAACTTCACAAATTAAAACCAACAATCGGTCATAACTACTTGGGTTGTCAGTCAAGACATGGCGAGGTCGTTTTACAGCGATGGCGTATTGGCCACAGTCGGTTTACCCACGAATATCTGCTAAAGACAGACGAGGACGAAACTCCTAAGTGTATCCCTTGTGATGAAAGGTTCATCGTCAAGCATATATTGCTTGACTCTATGGACTTTGCAATCGCAAAGGATTCACGTCATCAAAGCGTAAATCTGAAAGTGTCTTTTTGGCATATATTTCTGATGAATATGGAAATGGTTTTGACGCTTTTATTTAGCAGTGATTTCTTATCATCATGAAACGGGTTTTGTCGCTCTTATGTTTATAGAAAGGTTTTTGTCACTTTTATTGAAAAGGCTCGTGTGTTTTAATTGCTTTTGACAACCTGAATATTTTCTTTAGTTTAAAAATCGCCACTAGTCTATTTTATTTGGCCACAAACGTGTGTCATGGGCATTCCAGGGCGCAATGCCTTATGACCAATGGAATCTATTTCGGCAGATTGTTCTTTGGTGTCTGAGACTGTCTGATAAAACACGTCTTTCAAAAGTATTTTAGTTATATCATGTTGTGTCAGCTTATTATCGGACAAGCCCTCGGGTGGTAGACGTGTTCCAGATTGTAGAAACCCACGTGCATGCTTACAAGCGAAGGATCATAATCGGAGTGAATTATACTTTATTGGAATTTGGAATTTTATGTAAAATGTTACATTTACAATCAATATATTTGACTACATAATGGTCAAAAATGCATTGTTATTAATTCGTTTAATGTTTTCGTTCAATTCCTGGCACGTGGCGGCATATTGAGTGAGTGAGTATGGTTTTACGCCGCTTTTAGCAATATTCCAGCAATATCACGGCGGGTCAGCATATTGACGCGAGCAAAGTGTTTATAGTATAAATTGATTGTACAGGTCCCACTTGTCAGTTAATAATTTGGTCTACCACCCACAGTATGCTAGGGGCGGTTGGGTAGCCTAGTGGTTAAAGCATTCGATCGTCACGACGAGGACCCGGGTTCGATTCCCGACATGGTTACAATGTGTGAAGTCCATTTCTGGTGTCCCCCACCGTGATATTGCTGGAATATTGCTAAAAGCGGGGTAAAGCGATACTCACTCACTCCAGTATGTTTGACCTAAGGTAATTATGTTTATGTGCTTTATCCCCAAACCTTAGTCTTGCGAACATGCCCCGATCGACGAGTATATGTACAACTTATTAGTGAGTGTCTGAGTGGCTGCGAACATGCTATGCCACACGGAGGAAACACACTGATAACTTCGCCCCGTTCATGTATATCTGAGTTGGGAACACCACACAGCGTAATTGTGTTTGTTGCGACAGAGCTGTTATCCTGCTCAGTTTTCAGAGGAGTTTATTACAGATAACATACATGTACAGGGTGACAACAAACAACAAACAGATATAATAAGGTTTTCTCACTCATTACAAGATTTAATTGCTTAATGCAAATTTTACGGTGAAGTGGTGAAGAATATTTAATATAGGTGTAACTTTATAAGATCATAAGACTTTCCTCCTCGATGATATTTTCTCTTACAAAAACACAAAAACACTTTTCATATGTAGCTAAACTTCTGCTGTAGAGATAAATTGTGTGATGGAGAAAGAACTTTTTGATTCCTCAATATTCAGGACGTATCCTAGATCCGGACTTTCATGCTGTTCACCTTCATCTGTCCACGAAGTGCCACGTATTGCGGCATTTCCTTGACTCTGTGCTTGAAGTCGAAGTAATGATCACCATTGACATATCCCTGAAGAACAAAAATACGGAATTGGAATACCGAAATTTAAAGTTCCGAACTTGGTAATTTGATTGTTTCAGAGTGAGTGAGTGAGTGAGTGAGTGAGTGAGTGAGTGAGTGGCGAATATGCTCAAGACCTGATAAAATCACTATTTCAAAGCGATTCATACTTCTACTACAGATGTATTTTGATCATGAAAAGATTCTTTGTAGCTTTTATTTAAATATGCAAATTAAAGAAAGTCGGTGAATGACAAATACGAGTATTACCTGTGTCCCGTCAGGACCACACCCCAACATTTCAATTTTGCCCTAACAATGCTGAACCTATTTGTTTAATATTGTAAACAGAATCCAATTACGTTTTACCCCTCATAAAGCATATGAAGCATAACTTCCTACCCTATATCCAGTTTTGTCAAGGACTGCAGTGAAGTTGAAGGGTTGTCCGACTTCGATGTCGAAAGGTGACAGATGTGCCTTTTCTTCACGTCCGTAATGGCCATTCTGACGAGAGTTTCTTACTATCGTTCTTGTCCTTGTTCGGATAGACGTATGTAACAGTATGTCCGCTTTATCATCTCCGTTTTTCTTGAAGTCAAAGATGGACCTGAAAACAGACAGACTCGATTGTTGCGCCACCGGCGGCTATTACGAGAAATGTCCCTTCTATTTCCCTCCTATTGACCAATCAGATTCAACCTCTCATATCACTTGCCATTGCTTCCAACAAAATGACGATCTGATCGATAATCAAGAGACATATTGTATTGTAACGGGCCTTTACTCGCGAAGTGTATAAGAATACTTGAGCACCTTCATTCAAAACATGAAAAGATTTGCAAAATATATGCGGAACACGTGCTTTGTAAATCCTTCAGTCTACCGAAATCTGCAGGTTGACATCCATGTTGGTCACGAACCGCATGTCTAGTTTTTATATGTTGATTGGACTATGCATAGACTCGTTATTCAAGCCAATATGTAACCTCGAAATTCCAGCCTAGTTCGGCAAGGGTGGTAACTGGACTTTTATTGTCAGTTAACGCCCTTGCCTCGGGAAGATGTAGAAGGGAGATACACTCGATAATCAGGTATTTGGCTTTGGAAAGCTAGTGAGTTGGGCTTTTAACGACGCTTTCAACAGTATTCCAGGTAACACGGTGTGTCAACTTGATGTGGGACAAAAGTGATAAAGGTCTTGGACGTTTCCCACTTTGGTGAAACCCACGAGCACAGATAGGTTTCTGACATGCCCAAAGGAACTACTCTGCACAGAGAATTGCGGCGCCTTAGACGACTCGACCACAATAAAGATTGTTATGAGTGTTAACCAAATGTGAGAAAGAATATCGTCACTATACCACTTGTGTCCTGTTCCCAAGGGCTCGGCAATAAACGTCACTGCTGATCCGGGGCCAAATGTACTTGGAAGTTCGTACGCGCCCTGAAAGACAGAAAAAAACATACTATATAAAGACGTATTCATAATACATATACATTTCACTCTACATGATAAAAGACAATGTTTAAGTGTATTTGGTTTAGCACCGCTTTGAACAGTATTTCAGTTAGATCACGGCGAGGAATGAGGGAGGAGAGAATGATCTGATGCTGGTGTAGCGGCCATAAAATGTCCGAGTCCCGTGATGGGATTCGAACCACGGACCTTCTGATCACAGGTCGGACGCCTTGTCCATATGACCAAAAAGGTTAACCCCCTCAGCAAGCTGACAAGGTAAGGATGTCATCTGTGGGATGACTCCACGCCCTGCTACACTGGTATAACACGTTCCTCACGTTTGGGAATCCCACGTGCACAGGCACGGGTATGGTCCTGATAAACCCAGAAACATAATGGACACTGTAGACCACTCTGCCGCCTGTGCCCGCTAGCTCATCACAGCTCATCAGTCATTAGACGAGATGAAGCTCGACACATGAATTCGGGACAAATTGCTATGTGTGCATGATTTCATAATTAAGTTATTTTATTTATTCTTAAGGATTTCTATGATTTGGTTGGTTGGTTGGTTTGTTGTTTATATATATAACAGATAATATATCAGACGGCGGTCTGTACATAATCGAGACTGGACCAAACAATCCAGTGATTGATATCATGAGCATCACTCCACGCAATTTAAATCGATGACATGCTTCAACCAAGTCAGCGAGCCTGACCACCTAACCCGTTAGTCGCCTCTTACGACAAGCATAGTCGTCTCTTACAGCAAGCATAGGTTGCTGAAGACCTATTCTACCCTATTTTACCATGACACTTTATGCAAGTGTAATAAAAAAGGAGACTCGATAGATTTCTGGCAAAGAAAATATGACAAAACATATCTCGATCGCCATGAAACATGGTATAAACAATGCGTATACATTGTATGTAATGGTTGGTTTGTTGTTTAACGCCGCACTCAGCGATAAAACAGCTATATGACGGCGATCTGTAAATAATCGAGTCTGGACCAGACAATACAGTGATTAATATCATGAACATCGATCCACGCAATTGGCATCAACCAAGTCAGCGAGCCTGACCACCCGATCTCGTTAGTCGCCTTTTACATGCATAGTCGCCTTTTACGACAAGCATAGTCGCCTTTTACGGCGTGATGAAGCATTTAGTAACATATGTGATGGTAAGTGCATTTCGGATCGTTTGATGAAACGGATTTTAATCAATAACATGACCTTTACCATGACCTTCATCATCTCTATTCTAGTCATCCATGGCAGGAAGGTCAAGGATTAATAACGCTTACACATTAATGTATAGACATCAGACTATATTATTGAATGCAGGAGCTTTACTATACAAGTTTCGCTTACAAGTCTGTGAACACTGAGATTTGGTGTCCCATTCTCCCGTCGCAAGACACGTGAATGCTAGCTTTTCGCCATCGGTACACTGGAACTGCACCTGGGCACCAACATGGCGTCCTGCCGACTTCAGTACTTTTCCTCCTTTTATGGACAACGGGTTTGGGCACACCTCCGCTACCATAATAACAAATTGTTTCAATTATTTTATGTTCCATACAAGTACAGTTCATAACGCCAGCCCTTTAATGATGAAAATAGTTCCAAGTACAAGTGCAATTCTCTGTATCAATATCTATATTTTATCTAACCTTAACAGTCTTATAGCAATGTTCCTGTACGTTAATAGGATACCCTTATATGCAAAGCCGAGCCTTGTTTTGACTACACAAATAGTTCTATTTCGGAGACAGACTTCAATGAAGATGTGCAATATTTAATCTTTCATTTTCATTGGAATGATAGTCAACTTAGTATAAAATCTAATCATGATCGTAATTGGTTCAATCAATCATTTATTTTAATTTCTAAAAGGACATTTTTTTCCAAAAAGAAGCCTACGTCCCTTAAATATATTTTGAATCAACCAACCAACCAATCAGTCAGTCAATCGATCAATCAACAAAAAGTTTACATTTTACTGAAAGATCATTCGCCCAAAGCATATGTTGCATTTTAATGCATATGGTGTTCACAGGAACTTAAATATATTAGATTCTGTTTCGTTTAACACATTTTGGAAATCTTTTTTTTTTCTATTTATTCTACTAGCTTTCTGTCATGAAACGTTTATGAGAATTTCTGTTATAAAACGTTTATGAGAATTTCATTCAAACTGGCCTAATGCGAGATTACGACTATATAAAAAGCAAGACGATAACATCACTCATCTCACCTATCTTATCCATCACTTTCCTGACACTGGACAGCTGGCTGTCTACAGCTAACTTGGTGTCGTTTGCTGCGATGAGATCATGGAGAGAATGAGCGAATCAGTCAGCAGAGTTTGATACCCTTACAAGCGGAAACATTATTATGCTTTTTACCACAAAACGGAAGAACAAATGATACCAAGCTCTTAACAGGTTCATCAGAATGTCATTTCATTACTGATTATTCACAGGATCAAACTTTAGAGCTTTAAATTCTGACCTCCAATGTTTGTCGAAATTTTCAACGCACGCGTGTGCCTGAATAATCCTAAGAAATTGCTTAGTTTATTCGTATCATGGGGTCCATTTGTAAATTTAAATGATATGGGAGCGATGCATCCACAACAGGGTTTTGTGGAGATATGTCTTGTTCTACCGGAAACGAGTGTTTCCTTAAAAAAGATATACTGAATCCCTTTGAAAAGGCATTGTGGATTTTGACTTTTGATAAGTAAACAAGTTCCCCCCCCCCCCCCCCCTCCACCCCCCCACCCTAGAAGTACAACGAACACACACATAACATCCGCAAATTCAGTCACTAACCCACCCACATATATTACGTTACACACACCACACCACACCACACCACACCACACCACACCACGGGATTCCATACTCGGTATTGACCCATGACATATCCTTCTTCATGTCAGGGAATGGGTTTTTGGATGGTGGTCAACGGACCAGTCTTGCCTTAGGGAAAGCTGCTGTACTGTCCAGCTTCTTAATGTATGTCTCATCTGCGAGCCTCTTCGCCATCTGCAGTTCCGTCGACTCGCAGTTCTTTGGTCGTACTGTAAAAAATCTTTATGCCGTCTTCGTCATAGTTACTTTCCTCGGAGGGCATCAACTGAGCTATCTTTAATGCGTCCTCGTACCTCTTTTTCTTCTGGACGGGAAGGTTGCGATGGCGTATCCCGAGGACTCGGTTACGACTCTTCTGAAGAAAAACAACAACTTTATTTACAATTGCATTTCAAGTTTATAATGCATATGTATGTATATCCATGTATATGCTCATGAGCAATGGAGGAGAATATGTGAAAATCAAATTCAAATATATTCCGATAACCCTTAAGCAACGTGTCAGTATTATAGCTTGATGTATTAGAACAACACTATTTGGGAATGCCAGGTGCTACTGGTAGTGTTGGGTATGCTTACCCTTTTTGAAGATTCACTCTTTGTAATTCGACATCAAACGGATTACATCACACTCTGAGTAAACAATCTCATTTAACCCATAATTAGTTAATTAATCTGCAGTATATTGTGTCACTTAGTATTGCCTTAACGAGGAGTAATCCCTTGTCAGTTGTTGGTGAGTGATCAATTTATGTCTCGAGAAAGGGATTAGCCTTACTCACAATAAATTAACATTTCACACTGCAACAGAAGAGATTATCGATCATTATGCCTTTATAAGAAAGTTAGAAAGATAAAGATTGAATGATACATAACGGGCCGTGCCTGCATTATATAGCCTGCAAGAATCGTCACTGTAAACTAATAGAGGATTAATTTCAATTTTACAGAATATTATAAGTATATGATAAAGTGTTGAAGTAGCATTAGATATTTTTGAGATTACAGTTTTCTATTAACTGTATAATGTAGCTTGCTGTCTTTGAGAGAGTCAGTATCTGTAGAGCTGGCTTGGTCTAATTGGTATTCAGTCCCTGGGACACAAATATTGTTTAATAGCATTGTTTTGTGAGCAGCCGGATGCGTAAATGATATGTAATATATTTCCGTATTATATTTTATTGTACTTGTTGTTTTGATATTGTTAACAACAGAGAGAACGAAGATTTTTGTTTGAAAAACCATAACAGCATGCATATGTTCTAGCAAAAGGAAACTTGATAAATATTCATTTTGCTTAATTTCTACTTTGGAAAACTTATTTGGAGCTCTGAAAGCTTAACGCTGTATAATTTGGGACGCGCGTGGTTGGATGCAAACTAAATGTTTAATTCTCGCAAATTAAGACACCAGCGGCGGTATAGGAGCATATATCTAATGTCATTCAATACAGAATAATACATGAAGATGTTTCAATGTTAAGATTAAATATAACTAACGATATGGAAATTAAATCTAGATAACTGTTTTTAATCTTTGATCTTTTGGGAAAATAAAAGTGGAACTGGTTGAGTGTCTGACGTATTCTACATTAAAAAGTGACAGATACGTGATTTACATCATTAAAATTTAAAGTGATAAAGTGATACAATTATAAGTGAGGGTTGTGATTTATTTAGGAACGAAGTCAGTATTTGGAGATTTAACTTGCGCTTTCCGACATTATGCGTATTTCGCACACGATTAAGAAAATAATGTAATTCATTTATTTATATGAAGTACAAATGCATCAATCCTTAATCACCCGACTTGTTGAATGTTATTTCGTGAATACACAAATTGCATAACACATTTCCTGAGGACAAACCCAAATGGCCCGTCCCTTTGTGACAGGTGTTAATTAGAGTATGTATTGCCACCACATTATGTCCCGGCACTTTTATGACATGTAATGAACCTAGTCGGTCCCTGAATCTGTAACAACAACATTGGTCTTATAAAATCAAAGTAGCATAAATGTTACGTAATTCTTATTAAAAAATTGACTGATAAATATAACATGAATATAATTGCCCTTTTGGGGATAACATAATATTGGGAAAATATACTTAAAAGTACATGATTAAAGAATTTCAGAATCAACTGTTTCTTGTATTTATGACCGACTTCACACAAACTGAATAATTAAACATGTTTATATAGCTATAATTACATGACACCTACATTCTCATGAAATAATAATGTTGGTCATGTTTGTTAATTTGTACATTTCGTTGTTATTGGTATCCTGGGGATGTTGTAATTATACACGTGTTCTGATCTTATTTGACGTAGAATACATGAAAAACGATTGGTCAACAGTTTGGTGCGGTCGATGGAAAGGTGTTCAATTACTAAGAAAAGCTATTTAACTGTTTAATACTTAATACGTGTCTTAAAATATGAATTAATTCTTAAGTTATAACATTAGTGCAAATTCACCCGAACATAGGATGTACATGGACCGATTTCAAAATAGATAAATTGACAAATTGTTTCCCATAAACCACTGAATATAAACTCCCTTAGCCTTTAGAATAGAAAGGCGAATCGTTTCTTCATATATTGTCTTTTAAGCCGATGGAAGTTTAAATCACTACAACCGAGTCCGAGGCGATAAAGGATTATGTGACAAAATCTGGTATCATGGCTTAACTGTATATAAGTCACACTGTCCAAGTTTAATAATCCTCTACATCAGATGACTATTCCAATTATTAATGGTATCAGGTAGGAATAACTTGGCAAAGCATTCTGTTCTACAACATATTGCCTGTATATTGGTTTCATTTCTATAAATGTAATTACTAACAGCAAAGATGGTTTCCATCTTGTAAAAAGGTGTAATGGCTGTGTTAGTTTCTCTATATATTTTCTCGTGGCCTGTACCCCTTATCGCCCCACAAATAGTCCGTATAGTCCGTATTGAGTGAGTGAGTTAAAATTTAACGTCTCATCGGCAATATTTCAGCGTCCGGAATGAATCTTAGTGGAAACATTCTAGGATTAATTCTTGTTCTTGGTACAATTATCCCAAATATGGGCATTATATGCTTGTTCATAACTTCTAACGATTTATGTGAAAGGAGTTATTTAACTGAGTGAGTGAGTATGGTTTACGGCGGTGGACACCAGAAAGGTATCTAAGACTTCTAAGGCAATTAATCATAGGGATTTCCTTTTTAACTCGTCAGTATCAGAATCTGACTGAAATATTATTCCCAAAGTCATAAATATTAATTCCTTTCATTTTAAGATTAGGTTTTGCACTTGGGAAGACTTTAATTTAACGTGAAATAGAAAGCTTCTGTTTTCTCTGGATTCAATTTTACTTACTTTCATCCATTTGGTAATTTTCTCCAAATCAGCATTAATATTTTACGCAGTAGTATTTGGAATTGTCCCTTTGGGGAATTGTCTGGACCCCACCGCAAACACAGTAAACAGAAATTCCAGTGTGAATAAAATGTACAATAGTTTGTTGGCTCGACATGCAAGACTCCATAATTTTAGTTATAATGTAAAACTCATAGTAATATTAAATTATATTTAAAACAAATAATTAATGTATTTTACATGGGAGACGAAGCGACACACATTGTATTTTATAATAATGCATAATTTTGAATGCTTTAAACCTGTTGCATTAAACAAATACTGGATTTGATGTAGTCATATAGTGAATCAATATGTGTCTAGTCTTCCAAATGTTCTATTGCGAACACATATAGTGTCAGCGCTCATGATCGCCAAATCTATGAATGAATAAAAATATCATCACTAATAAACTCACCTGAGCTCACTGTGTGTTCTGAAGACAAATCGCTGTTAGGCATCCTGCACGGCTTCATTCACGTTCACTCTCAAATGTACCATAGAAATCTGCGATTGTGCGTGTTCAATGTTCGAATTCGTTTATTTATTAAAATTCCACTAATTCATTAATCACATTGAGTTGCTCGCCTCTTCTCCAGTTGCTCACACTCTCAACTGATGTAGCTGCCTTGATTAACTGGAGTCCGGATGTACCTAATTACAAACTCTGTTCTAATTATGCTAATCGTGGAAGTGCATTATACTGGATGACAAACTTAGTAATCCTTTCACACTAATGATCCTTGTTTACAATGAACGCATGCCAATTGACTAAACAAACAACTCTAAGTAGAAGTATCACAATGGACGGTGTGTACAACTGTTTGACAAACAATATCAACCAATATTTCATATTTAGAATCACCATTACATGAAATCACAGGAACATATATATTAAATTTTACTTTGAAAACTCCAGAACTAATGTCGTGAACGTAATATAATAGGAATTTATTCCAACGATGTGTTTCCTATATATGTTTCCTTGTACAATTTTAAATTCATGGATTTTTTATCTATTATTTTG